GCTTGTATTAGTTCATCCAAATGGAATTCCTCCCGAAACACTGAAAACCGACCCAGAGACTGCCGCAGATTTGCTCACACCATTACTGCAAAAGGTTGAGAAAGAAGGAAAGGTACATACCGATTGGAAGAAAAGCTACCTCGTCAAGCCGCCGAAGAACAGCGACTTAGGCCTCTGCAAGAACTGGCGTGGAATAATGCTCTTTTCCACGCCAAGTAAAATACTAAGTTGCATCATCCTGAACAGAATAAAAGATGCATTGGAGGCAGAACTCCTCCACCCACCGAGCAGAACTAGCTGGATTCAGGAAAGGCAAATCATATGTTGATCAAATTGTTGCTGTACGCATCATCATCGAACAAAGCATAGAATGGCAGTTAAACCTCTACCTCAACAGCTTCATCGACCTTGAAAAGGCCTTCGACAGACAGCATTGCCCTCCGAGTAATTTTGAAACTATTTCTACACTACGGCGTACCTCAAGTCTTTATCAACGTCATTCAACAGCTGGCTATATGACAATGCCACGTGTCAGGGGACCCACAACGGAAAACTCAGTGAGGCGTTCGAAGTGCATACAGGAGTAAGGCAAGGCTTATCTGGGAAGCATCGTTTCGACTACAGGCGGAACGGATGAAGATGTCAGAGTCAAAATCGGAAAGGCAAGATACGCTCTCATCAACCTGAAACCAGTTTGGAAATCTTCTACACTCAGCATAAGGAACAAGATTCTCATTTTCAACACCAATGTCAAGTCGGTCCTTCTATACGGGTCAGAAACTTGGCATTCAATGTAAAAGTTCGATGTTAAAAGACTAGCTATTTACAGCATAATTCGACGAGTAAGGCGTTGAGTGGGCAGAGTTCAGATTTTGCTTGGGAAAAAAGACAGACTAGAGACAAACTTTAGGGTCAAACTGCAGAGTAAATCTATAGGTAATATGATGGAGAGTTCAAGAGGGTAAGAGTTAATAATAAAGTCAAATTTTAAGATAGACAAAACAGCTTAGTAGATTTAGAAACTTAATAGTGAGCTCAACTCAGCGAGTGAATATCAGAATTAAAATTAAGTGGAATGGCAGCAAGAAATGTTCTCTTCACTGCATCCTTGATTCTTTTTTCGGTTCTTACCCTTTCTGGGATAGACAGAGAAAAACAGGTTGCTTTTCAGCTGTTTCGGGTTTCAATCAAGGTGCTTTCTAACTTCCAAATTTCTATATCAACTTTCTGGGATATTCATTTTCGAAGAGTTCCGCTTCAATCTTATTTTCTGAACAATAACGCCTTAGCTCCTCTAAAGAATGTTTTAATCAAGCTCCGTTTGTGGTCAACTGGGCAAATCTCTGATTGTTTAAGTATTGACTAGTTCGAGTTTCTTTCCTAAAACGGATTTTCAATCGTCTAATCAGTTCTTCTCTTTATGTTGAGATCTTGGAATTGTAACTGATTGTCATGTTCATGTTCCATTGTAAATGCAATGTGAGGATGAGAAGCATTGCGTGGTCCGTATTACTGCAAACCATAAGCGTGTCATCAATGTGTAGTGGTGTGATATAGACAATGTGTGCCAACGGAATGTTATTCTTACATGTTCCCACAGAATACGATATATCTATTTGAACATTCTATTTAATTTTACAGACAGAACACTTTCCCACAGTTCAATACTGCATTAGCAACAGAATACTACGTATATTTGTACATTGTATTTCATGTCGTTTGATGTAAATCGAAATCACACGCTCAGTGTTTGGTTAAAGAATATAAAATGTAGATACATAAACAGTGCTATTTTTTTAAATCATGGAAAATTCCCATTGTAACATATAGAAAATCAAAACAAATGATTCAGCGAAGAGACTCTTTTCAACGAATTTATCAACCAGCTGTACAAACGTATATACATGGTTTTTAAGAAGTTATATTCGGTGAGGGAATTGAAACATAGGTGTGAATGCATATATAATAATAATAATAATAACAATAATAATATGAAATACAATTAAAACTTAGCTTCCGATATCATGAAACGAAGGATATCACAGTCCTTGAAAAGAACATTCCCTGCTGCATCTCTGAGAATAGCCTTTACTAGTCGACCATTATTGTTCAATAACGTGAAGGACAAGATCCCGCTGTTGACCAACTCTATGTGCGTTTATCAATTCACCTGCTTGTGTGGAGCTAGGTATATCGGTCGTTCGACACGAGTTTTGTCCAAGAGGGTGCAAGAACACTATCCTGCATGGTTACGAAGAGGTGGTAGTGGAGCAATAAGAAGCGCGATCATTGAACATCTGGACGATAATGATCACCCTACCTCTATAGCCTCCACCTTCAAAGTCATCTACAAGGCAAAGAGTAATTTAACCAAATCCCTACGTACCCGACTTATCTGTATTGCTGAAGCTTTGGCTATCGAAACAGAAAAGCCAGATCTCTTTGTACAGAAAAAATTCTTTCGATCCCTCCAACTTTAATGGTCTTAATCCCTCTATGCTAAAGTATGCTAATCCCCAATCATATTTTAGCTCTACCAGTTTTTTCATTTTTGTCTATTCAATTTGCATACTCTTCCTTATTACGTCAATTGTTACTATTACTACTCTCACTTTTAATTGTCCCCGGTATTATTTCACTTGTTCCACTTGCCATTCTAAATCAATTCCTTTTTACAACATTAAATTCTATGCTATTAAATTTCACACAATATTACGTAACGTTTCTATTTTATTCGATTTGTCTACTAATCTTATAATTGCACACCCTTTTTCAAGTTCTATCCATCCTATGAATTATTCTATATATGACATTAATTTGCTTTGCAACTTGACATTTAACTACGATTACAATCACAAACATTTTAGTTTTAATTACATTTCATATTATTATTATTATTTTATGGGTTCACACCTATGTTTCAATTCCCTCACCGGATTTAACTTCTGAAAAACCATATATATACGATTGTACAGCTTGATGATAAATTCGTTGAAAATAGTCGCTTCGCTGAATCATTTGTTTTGATTTTCTACATAAACAGTGGTTTGATTAATGAAAAATATACTTTGGCTCCCGTGTATTGCCTTCTATTGTTTCAAATGTACCTACAGTAATAGGTAGTCGTTTCTATTTCCGAACTCATTCACATCTGTGTAAAATGAGCCTTGAACAGGTTGTATGAAATAAGGATCAAGTCAAAAGGATGTTAGAACAATGATATACAGGTCAGGGTGAAATAATAGAAATTAGATTGTCCATGGATTGATTTTCAGATCAATTCTTCCGCTACACCTAAGTCATCAAACGTTTCACGCGGTTTCTAGTGTACACTAAGAAATTACTAGTGACTGGCCCTATTCAGGCAGTTAACCTGGGGTTCTAGTGGGAAGCCGTGACCAGTAGGGTACAGCAGGTTGAAGATGAGGCAGTAACTCATCGAAGAAGGCATTGCAAAGTGTTCGCGCTATGTCGTGGATTGGCAGAAGTTAGAATTCAAAGACCATTGGATCGGGTCCCAGTTGCTCAATGGTCAACCATAGGGTCCTGGGTTCAAACCCTGCTGATGGGTGCGTACTGATGAAGAGTCCCAAACCAGGGCGAAACAGCTGTCCAGTACTCCCAGGTTTTCCAATGGTTCTCTAATTGATGTCAGCTCATGATGAAATCCTCCATGCACTAACAATATGTCAATGTCTGTCCATCAAAATCGAACTTATGTGATCCAAATTACTATTTCAGTATCCTACTCAACATCTTTTTACAATAATTAATAACTCATGTGTAAAGGAAAAGAAAATGGAATCGAAATGATGAGGCAATCAACACTAATCCATGCACTATACTTTGCGCCTGCTGACATCCCGACAAAAAGTTACATCTCTAACTTCAAATAAATTCATATTTATTCTGGAATTCGAATCTCAATTACTCAGTGGAAAAGATGAGAAACTTCAACGCAAAGATTTGTTTTTACGAGTTGATCACGGATTGATATCAGTTAGAGAACCATTGAAAACCAGTGGAGTACTGGACAGCCAGCTGTTTCATCCTAGTTTGGGAATCATTGGCAGTACGCACCGACCCACTGGGGTTCGAACCCAGGACCTTCCGGTTACAAGGCAAGCTCGTAGAAGGTCCTGGGTCCTAACCCCAGGTGGTGGGTGCGTACTGCCGACGATTCCAAAACTAGGATGAAACATCTGGCTGTTCAGTACTCCCAGCTGGTTTTCAATGGTTCTCTAACTGATATCAATCCATGGTCAACTCGTAAAAACAAATCTGATCCTTACAAACCAACTGTTGAAAATATTCAAAAGATAACTGAGAATTTTGTAAGACGTTCAAATTGATGTGTAGAGTATATTCCATAATGGATAAGAAATTAATTTATTCAAACTTTACGTTATGAGTTCGGATGAATAATGTAGTTACCTATCGTCAAAGGAAACTGTTAGTTCAATAAACTCTTTAGAAGTTTCTTTTATAGTCAACTTTCTGTAAGAATCATGAATGAAAAAGAGTTAAATCCTAGTTTTAGATGTTTCAGTGGTGAAGAAAACAACAGCTGAAGTTTTTAAAATCGGAAGACATCAAGTGCTTCTTTAAGAATTGTTGCACACATCACGTGGTGAATGATAATGTAGTATATCCCCAAAATACACCGCTAGAATATTAGTAACGACCAAGAATTTCCGACACACTAAACCACCTGAAACGATGAAGATGCAATTTTGCCTAAATATGACTATCAAACAACTTTTACTACCACAAAGTAGTAAGACTTGTTCCTTGAAACTAATGAATTCAGGAATATGCTTTAACATCACTCCACGTGGCTAAACCAAAAACCGCCTTGAATCTGATTGGTTAATTTTCTAAGATATATCATAACATACCTATGAAAATGTTTCCTCACCCTTGTCTGTCTGTCTGGCTGTCTGCCTATCTATCTATCCACCAACGGCACACAAAATTATCTTTGTAAGACCCAATATTATTAAACGGGTAGGAGAGAATATCTTACACGCATTTCTTTCTTTGCATATTACCTATTAAATTCTTCCTAAGCAATGGATATACCTATTCATGTTGTGTTATTTTCACCCAAGGTGTGAGTAAGTACTAAAAGTGCCTTGTGTTAGTCACTCTCTGTCTCTCTCCATCTCTCTCGCATCATTGGGACTATGTAAATGTGTACTGTGGACGAAACAAAATTCCTCTGTTCTCTTCTAGTGTTATTCAGACAATTTGGATGCGTCATACTCTGTAGACAGTTGATAAGTGGAACAAAGAATTCACATTTGTAAAATATGATTTTATGCATTGATACAAACTTTTACAAATTAATGGAATCAGTGGAAAATTATCAATTAAATCGGTTAGAAGTATAAAAAGTATTAAAAAAAAAACCCGCACCAAACATTTTGTTTAAAAAACATAAACACTTATGACAGGAAATATCATGTATTCATTTGGGAATTTATCTACAGTCTTTTGGATATTAGTAATAAGTAAGTTTTCCATTTGTATTATATATATATTTTTTTAATGCATATATCTTCTTAAATGTGGAAATATAATTGACAGAAGTTAGAATTCATGGGCTGGCCACTGGATCAGGTCCCAGTGGCTTAATGGTCTACGAACTCGCCTTATAACCGGAAGGTACTGGGTTCAAACCCCTGGTGAAGAGTCCCAAACCGGGACGAAACATCTGATTGTTCTGTTCATGATGAAATCCTCCAACCAATGAAATATAATTAGCACTATTATTATCATTTACTGTCATACTATTATTGATGCTGTTACTTATCATTGACTTTGGATCTCGAAAATACCAGGCTACCAGACAAGAAATTAAATCTTCCATACAAAATTTTCAGGATATTTGTAACCTAGATGACTGAGAGTAGTGGATTTATAGAAATTATTTTGAATAAGCAGTTGATTGATTTCGTTGGACTCTAATGCTCGACTTTTGCCGACATGTCACCTCCTAGTGCGGAAGGTTAGATAATGGCTTGAGGTTAACAATAATGTTATTGTGAACTGAATAATTTCTGTTTACAAGGGAAACTGTGGGGGAATCTCACCTACTCGAATTGGAAATTGCAAATGTGATGCATGGTATTGCCCGTTAGCTCAAGTAGCTATCCAGAAATCAGCTCTCTCTCTCTCTCAGCTGATGCAAACCAGTCGCACCGATGATGAGGTCGATTTCAAACAAGCGAAACGGCCGTCTGTTGTTTACATCGATTCGATCTGGCTAGCAAGCACTACTGATTGATGCCAGTAGTATCCGAATACTCACCTCAGTCAATTAGTAGTCTATGGTATGATGTTATTTCGTTGGTAGTGTTTGGTGTCTAAAATGATGTATACTGCGTTCGAGTCTTCGTAGGAACACCCTCACTGACTGGGATAGAGTTAACGGAAGTTATTGAATCCCCAATAAAGCGAAATGTGTATCTTGGGTATCACTATTTGTCATGACAACTAACTGGTATCATGAGAACCTCAAGGCATCGTTAAAACGTCCATACTGAGAGCAAACATGTCAACATGAACATAGAAGTTCTCTCCACTAAGACCATTCGAAGACATATAAGACATAATATCACCTTAATTTTGAGTCTTTTTTTAAACTTTGCGCCAAATTACACACCTTTAGACTAAAAAAAACAACAAAATATACTAGAAATCAGTCATAATCACTTGTCACTATTAGGATGAAATAGACCCAGATTACGCAGATGATTCATCATGACGATTGTAGTAACCGGAAGAAGAAGAATGTTGATAGATGTCATAACAAGAGATAGCTACGCAGACTGACTTTTAAATCCCCAAAAAGACAACTACACCCCCCTATAGTACTTACACAAGAAGAAAAGTTGATGAGTGAAATCGGGAAGACATTACAAAATATAACAAGAGGGTAGAAAATAATTGATCAAAAGGAATTCAAAGCAGTTCATGAAGTTATTTCATGTCAAAGAAGGAATAAATTGTACAGGATATTGCACTGTTGACAAACGTTAATATTTTTTGTCCCAAACCCTGTGGTTGTTAGGGCTTCAGGCTTCACCTTCTTATAGAGTAGTGAGGTTGCTAGCGTCAAGTCAAACCTTCCTTCTTTACCGGTCTTATGACCAATTAAGACCGAGGTTTAGGAGTATGTTAGTCAGGAATCGAACCCATGACCACGTGAGTGAGTGCACGAGCATTGTACCACTGACCTTGTGTTTTATAATGCACGTGTAGAAATATCATAATGTGCCATCAATCCTGAACTGCCGGTGATTATCACCACCATCAAGGTGATAAGACAAAAAGCACAGACTGTTTGTAGAATGAACTAATTCATTTTTGTATTAGAAAAAAAACCACACTGGGAGTTAATCAGTGATACATATTGACTAAACTGTAGAGATATACATCCACTGTGTAACTATTCTCATAGATTCAATTAAATTGATAACTAAACATGAGTGTTACAAAACTAGGACATTTTATTTATTACTTCAATAAAAGAATGAAAAATAAATTGACTAACTTAGATTAAATTATAACAAAAGTTTTGTTATATTTCACAATAATTTAAAAATGTTCCTATCGTTTCCAGTAGAAACCGAAAATATTTAACTCGTTATATATATATACATATATGTGATCTACTTTAACACCAAATGTAGCGTCAACTTGTGTTAGTTAGTACAGAAAAGCTCAACAATCCATTGTGTATCACATTCATTGTCGACAGGGTATAAGATTTTCTTGACTAATTCTAACTGATTTAAAAATGACTACCTCTCATACAAATAATCTAGCAAGTTCATGGGAATGTATACGTGTACCTATCTGATTCACTCATCTTCCCTTCAATCGCTTAATATACGTTTTATAAAATAACAACGAAAATTTCCGAGTTTATACTCATGAAGAGTTGAGAATGATCAAGTAATTCGTCTTGTCTATTGTTAAAGCGTTAAACAATAATACTTTAAGGATCATGTGTTGTACTTGTCACCTAGCAACAGATTTTTAGTTTACTTCCTACATGATAAATACTAAGTCTACTTTATATCTTTTTGAAAATATCTCCTTTCTCTCTCACTCATTCATTCATTCATTGTTCTTATCATTTATAATGGCCACTACAGAATAAGATTGCGTGTTATGCAGTATAAACAACTTTGTATATTTTGTATGCAAACATGCGTGCATACATCCGTTTGATGTTACTCATATTAACTCTCTTGTATAATCATTATTATTATTAGTATTTTTATTTTACAAAAGTGTTATTCATCAATTAGGCTGAAGACAAAATTCTTTTTTTCACATTCATATTTTTATAGATTTTTCTGTATTCACCTGTGATTTTTAAAAATTTTTAGAACAGAAGATTACATAATACTTAATAGGCTAGAAATCATAATTTTGATTTTTTACTCTTAAAAAAAATTTTTTCCTTTTTTCCAGTCATGAGTATACTTGTGTTCTTGCACAGAAGCATTAGCTTTTTTTTTCCTGCAAAAGAAAAACACACAACACAGAAATACAGTCAGTGGGGTAGAAGTGAAAAAGAAACAAAACAAAAGATTTCTTTTTCAAAAGTGAAAACTTACAAAACAACTAATATAAACAGTCAATCATCTGTCTGCATATTTATTGTCTATGCAAAAATACTGTTATAGAGGGTCTAAACAGAAAGGCTTGAAAAATGAGGATTTTCACTAAGGTATTTCTTTAGATGCTTACTGTAATTGTAATATTTTACGCTGTGTACTCAGACTACCTGAGATAATGGTGACTTAGCAGACTGTTATTGATAGAATGGATGATGTCTGAAGGTGTAATGATGACCTAATCATGTAACTTATCTGGTTGACTACTGAACTGCTAATTAGGAAATCGAATCCTAGTGCGACGCATATTTCTACGACGCCTTCAAACATCATTCATCACAGTAATATTCAAGGACTGACAATGATTAGTAGACCTGAGTAGTGAAGGTTTTGAAATCTGTGCAATAGTTTCTGTGATCATGAATTATTATTCTTGAGAGATTTGTAAAAAATTATATTTGTAAAATCTCAGCGAGATTGAAATGAGTAATTCCAACGTTTCGTTCAGCAATCTGGTCCGAACTTCTTCAGGGAAATTAATCGAAATTAACATAACAGAGGTTTATATATAAAAGGAACATCATTTGTTTTTAAAAACTTTCTCCAATCATGAGTCATTCAACAAGTATCAACAAGTATAATAAACAAAATTTTATGAGCTGTGATCAAAATTTGACCTCGGACTTACAAATATTGGTCTACCTTTGTTAAACACTTTAAACAGAGTGTGTATGTGTGTGTGTGTAAACAGTTGTAAAACATTTCTTAACGTCTCCATAAGAAGATTTGGACAGTCGAGAATTTTGACCAAGTATTAATAATTAGTGATACATATCCATTTTTTATTTATCAATAAGGATTTCCTATGCATCAGCTAACATCACGCCTTCATGTCTGTTCAAACTGTTAGTATCTAGAATTTTATGATTAGACGTATTTTCAAAATTATGGTGTTTAGGATTAGAGTTTAGTAGAAGCACCCTGTCGGACTTATTGCTTTGTCTTCTTTCTGAAGATTGAGCTGCTTTATTCGACCTACTGGAGTTGTCAGGTGACTCGACAGCTACGGATTTAGGATATGCATTCTGTTGTAGACAACGGAGAGTGAAAACACGATTTCTTTGTTAATTTAATTCGATTACAAAATAATTCTAATGAACTGTCGTCAAGATTTGACATTCGATTAATTTTCCTGAAGAAGTTTTGGACCAGATTGCTGAACGAAACGTTGGAATTACTCATTTCAATCTCGCTGAGATTTTACAAATATAATTTTTTACAAATGTCTACTTCTCACTCGGCGCCCAAATATTTTAGAACTATTCTGTCAAATCTTGACGACAGTTCATTTGAGTACCAGAGATGTTAGGTAATATTTCGACTGAACTGTATTTCTGTAACTTAGTAATGCAAGAAGTGTAACCTAATATTCTTATCTAAACGTTTTTATATCCCAATAACATTCTAAACACTTAAATATTCCTTAGATCTCTTAGTTGGTCCGTCCATGTTCCAAAGACTAATCGTAAATAATTATGCCTGCATTCACGTTTATTGGTGTAATGGATATTTCTTAACTGTGTAAAAGTAAAACAGATAATTATCAACAAAACATCTCTACATAATACTCAAATCATAATTAATTAATAAATATGATTGTCTATGCTAGTTCTCTGCGTCGGTGGTATAGCGGTTAGGACGCTCGCCGAACATGCACATGGTGCGGGGTTCGATCCCCGGCCACAGACGCACTCCTTTACCTCGCTAAGCCAGAAATAATGCTGGTGAAGAGGAAAGGTTAAGCATGAGGCTAGCGACCCCATCCTGTAAAATAAAAACACTGTACAGAAACTTCAAGCCATCAGCTTGAAGCCCTATGT